CCGCCTGACTCATATTTTTTCCTGCTGTTACCAATAAGAACTTTTTCCTCATGAGTCACTTGAAGACAGTTTATGTGTGTTCAGAGAGAAACAAAGCACAACCCAAAGATTTTCCTGAGGAACACTTTGGAGCAATATGCTAGATACTGTCAAGGGTTGTTCTACCTGCAAGATGGCACAGTTGAGCTAATTAACTCTTAGTGCTTTCGAGTGAGCATTTTTTACTGTAATATGTGAATGTTCCTTTATTTTTAACACTTTTTTTTTTTTTGTAAAACACATCAGTGACATAAGCATTACTATTCCACTTTCTCGTTGTTGGTCTGAGGTTTACAGAAACAACAAACCCTGCAAGAAAGTTGCCAATTCAGCTACTGTCAATCCTTATATGGGCACAGCAAATACTTGCAAAGTAGCTTTTCCTGCTGCAACTTTTCCCAAATAACATAAGCAAAGCATAGTTTTAGCATTGTAACCATGTATTTCACAAGCTCTGAAGTGCTGAGCTTTCTGCCTCTCCTGTGACTTCATTGCACTGGCAGATTTGGCTGGTGTGACTTGCTCATGATCTGTGGCAGAAGCAGGGAATTCAGGTCTCTGGAATGCCAGAGTTGTGTTTTAACTCAAAGAGATGAATATTTAAGGTTTCTGGAAAGTTCAGTCCTCTGTAGGGAACAGACACTAAGGTGTCTATTACACATACTGATTTTCAGAAGCTAGAGCAACTTTTTATCTTGATGACAGGAGTGATTTGCTTTGTCTATAGCTGAGTAAAAGTTACTTCTATCTAAATCAGCCTGTTCTCTTCTTCTATTACCTTTTGGCCTTGCTGACCAGTTTAAGCCAATTTAAGCCAATTTAAGTTTTGACAGATCATCTACAGTGTCAAAAGTAATTAAGTTCCTACAGGCTTCCCCAGGAGAGGAGAAGAAAAAGAAGCCTTAGCAATGCCCTCACCAAGGGAAAGACTGTATTAGAGCTTGACCTTTGCTAGACATTCAAAGTGTCACAGCAGGGGCAAAGACTGCCCCAAGTGTGAGATAAGCTCCACGTGGGGAACATGGACAGCCGTGTTAAAAACAGAGATTAGAATACAAGAGATGTTTTTTGGGGGGGGGGGGAGTGGATCTAGGAGAAATTAACTAACAACTGATATTGATAAAGCAGATTAAATAATTTAATAGTTCTCAGGCTTCAAATTTCCTACATCTATTGGAAGACATGCTGGTTTCTGGAGCACAGAGCAGCTTTTATTAGATTACCATGGAGGCCAAATGCATAGCCCTGCTCCCAAGAAGGACACGGAGGTGCTGCAGCGTGTCCAAAGGAGGGTAATGGAGCTGGCACAGGGGCTGGAGCACAGACCTTGTGAGGAGCAGCTGAGGGAGCTGGGGTTGTTTAGTCTGGGGAAGAGGAGGCTCGGGGGGAGACCTCATCACTTTCTACAACTACCTGAAAGGAGGCTGTAGTGAGGTGGGAGTCAATCTCTTCTTCACAATAACTAGTGATAGCACAGGAGAAAACACCCTCAAGTTGTGCCAGGGGAGATTCAGGTTAGACATTAGAATTTTCTGCACAGAAAGAATTGTCAAGCATTGGAACAGGCTGCCCAGGGAAGCGGTGGAGTCACCGTCTCTGGCAGCGCTCAAGAAACGTGTGGATGAGGCGCTTAGGGACATGGTTTAGCAGCCATGGTGGGGATGGGTTTATGGTTGGACTCGGTGGCTTTGAAGATCTTTTCCAACCATATTGATTGTATGATTGCTTACATGCAAACTAATCTGTCTTGAAAAATAATGAGCATTTGGGGCATCTGAAATAGCAATTACTGTTTGATAGACAAAATAATACAAAGCAAAGTGGAATGTAGCAACAATTGACCTTACTTGGTCAAACTCCTTGCCTAAATCAGGCATCTTGTAAACAACTAATTAAATAAAAACTGCATTTGTCTAAACAAATAAATTCATAGAAAGTATGATAACAAACTCTGCTCTTAGCTATGATATTCCAATTCTAATATTATAATCCTGGAGGGTCAAATCCTGTGTGTTCCATCTCAAAAAAATGCGTTCCCTCAACCTGCAAAGTCATCCTTAATGGATTTTGGCATGGCTTTAACTGACATAGCCCTTCTTTATATACATTGCATTGCCTTAGACCAATTTGAACGCTACAAATGTAATTGCAAAAAAATATAAACAAAAGAGGCAGGAGAATCGATCAGTTCCAAATAACTAGGTCAGGGGGATTTGATGAGCTCTTTACAGAGTGCACTCCAACGCCTACTGGCACCATGTATCCAGGGCTTTTATTCCACTAAGTATCTCCTCTGTTCCTCTCCTTGTCTTTCCCCACCAATAAGGTGAAAGTGAGCAGGTTTTCTACAGGGGACCTCACATAATACCTAACTGAAAGGAGTTAAGTTTAAAAAAAAGACCATTGTCTGTCTTTGAAATACACAAATGGTTACGTAAAATATAATAGTATGTAGTTAGCCATGCATGCCAAGGCGGATAGTTTTCCAAAATGATTGATAAATCTCTCTAGCTTCCCTGCAGGATACAGTTTTGAGCTGTGTTTGGGAAGCATGCCTTGTTGCAGCAATTGCAGCGATATAAAGAGCATGTGTTGCTGCTTGGGATGCAGGGCATCGTCTTAAACTTTCTGCAGTGCAAAGCTATGTCTGAAAGACTTGGAAATGGTTGTCAAGGCACACTATGCATGCCTAATTGTCTCCCCGAATAGAGTTCTGATATCTGGATTCTTGAAAATCCAAGTAGCTGTGCAGCTAAATGATTATTTCACTGAAAAAATATATAAATCAGAACGCCAAATACTTTGCAAATTATAGGATAAATCCTGAAATACACACACCTTTTTTTTTAATCAACAGTTTCTTATTTAGACTAAACCCTTATTGACATTATTAGAGTTTTATTTGAATAGACATTTCTGTGTATGTATATAAGATCCATTTCATTCACTATTGCAACACAGATGTAACTTGCTGTTAATTGCCTAGGATGCTACAACCACCAGTGTAAAGACTGAGCTGTTGATATGTAAAGTTTTATCCATGCTCTTTAATGGACACAAAACTTAGTATATACTTAAGTCTTTTAGAATATTTATCCTTTAATATATGGTATGGAGGATCATACTTCAATTAATGGAAGCTCTCAGTGATGAACACGTAACATTTGTTTTATAGTCAACTCTGGAAAGCAGCAGCTGTTTAAGACATATGGCAACAGCATCCAGCTGTTTAGACCAGTGACTGAGAGACCCTCAGTACAATCTAACTCAGATGCCAGTCTTGAATTACCTGTGTTTGAATTTGGCCAGGACTCACTATTCTTGAAGAATGGTCCAAGCAATTTCTGAGGAAGAGATCTCTTTTGGTAGTGCTAGCTGAATTTTTTCAATCTTTTTTTTTTCCCAGAAAATTTGGATTGTTCATTGAAAAAGATGAAATGCCATGAAAAGAAATATTTCTATCTGCAAATTGTGCTTCATTGACTTCAGTCATTTTCTTTTTATAAGTAGGATTTTCCAATCAAATTGTGTCTTCTGCCAGGCTTCTCATAGTGCCTCCCTGTGCAGCCTAGCTTAACATATTGATGCATGCAGGAGGTGGGGAGCCAAGTTCTTCCAAGGCATAACAGCAGTGTTTCCAAACCAAAATATACTTTTTTCAGTTAAAACTTTCTCTTATACCCATTTTCACCTAAAACATTTTCAACATTTGAAGTTTGAGCAAATTATCTATCTATCTATCTATCTATCTATCTATCTATCTATCTATCTATCTAGATGAGCTTCATGTTTTCTTTTGCAGACCAGAGGAACAGCTCATAAGTGCCTCAGCACTACTTGGAGCTCTGGCTCTGCCCTCGCTCAGATGATCTGATCCATCCACCGGCTCCCGTGTAGGCCCTGCGTGTTCTCCAGAGGCCGGACTCTCTCAGCTTGTGAGTGCTGCTGCTAAGGTAACCGCCTGGCCGTGTTTTGCAGAAGTGATGTGGCTAATATTCTGAAAATACACAAATGAGAGAATTTGCAGTTCTGACTCCTTTTCATCTGGGTCTTTAATGCCTATGAATTTATCCATGATACTGTTATATGCATTAAGTACTGGTCTGAATTTGTTAAATCAGCTCCAAGAAACACACCTGTAATTTTCCATACATCAGTTATGTACTCTTCATAAAATATTGTGCTCACTCCTTTTATTTGTATAATTGAAGCAATGCTGCATTAAAGTAACTGTCCCACATTGTAAAGCTGCAAGTACTTAGCTCTTACTTAACTCTTAGGAATGTGCCTTTTTGATTTACATGAGGAAGAGAAAGGGATTTTGTTTGTTCAAACATTCCAATATATGCTCTGCCTAATAAGCATTCTGGTTTCCTAGCATTGCTCTAGTTTATATTACGCCAAAATTGAAATGAAATGAGGAACACTACGAGAACAGAGAATGAAACAGCTCAAAATCAGGAAAAAATCATTTACAGATCATTTTACTTGCTTGTAATCTCAGTTAGTTTGTTTCTGAGGTACAGAATTAACCTTTGGGACCTAAATATAATATCATCTGATGTGGGAACACAAACAAAATTCGACATGTATATATAAAGGACAGCTGATGTATATACTTATATGGCTCCTGGCTGTTAGGTGTTCAAGGTGCAAGAGGGAATAAGTGTTCAGAAGGATAAATATGGACTAAAGCAGCAATTCTGAATGCATTCTTCTCACAGTGCCCGAGGGTGGGCCAAGAAGAGCAGGTAGAAGAGGCAGGTTCCTTGGGGAAGGCGCAAAGGAGACTGCACCAGTGAAATTCCCGCTGGACCCTATTTGTTTTTGTTGCTAGTAGTTATCACCCATCTGCAAAAGGCAAGAACAGAGCAGCTCTTTTTTTCTGAAAATCTGAAGTATTTGACTTGCATTGGAAACAAAGCAAGGCGAAAGGGCAGTTGTCCAGCATGGCTGACAAAATGGCCAGGATCACTGTTATTTTTATTCTCATCCTTTGCGCAGCCACACAGCAGGGAAGGGGAAATGAAATTACAGGTGAGTGATGGAAAATCTGTCTGAGAACTATGTTTTTTATGTAGCATCACTTAGTTTAGATGTGAGATATCTCTTTATTGGAAATAATCGTGGTGACATCTCTCCGGAAAGCTGGCAATGTCTCAAAAACCTTTTAAGAAATGTCTGTTGATAATTAAACAAAACACATTTGTCACCATGTTTTAGTCCTAAGTTGTTTCCTTTTTGTTAGAAATAAATGAGTAGAATTGCCACTTTATGTTCAGTGATGGAAAAGCTCTTTAAACATTTTTAACTTTTTGAAGAAATTATGTTTTAATGTACCTGAAAAATTTCAGGAGACGCATAAAATGACATTGTGGATAACATGTTGTTTAACTTTTGTCTATGGTATTGGTGGTAATCGGAAAATTTAACAAAATGACTAACTTACACCTGCTAAATTAAATTATAATTTTTCCTTAGCTTCTAGTTTAAATGTGGAAAAAAAGTGATTTCTGGTAGGGTTTTTTTTTTTAATTAAGTGATTTTGCACTCAATTAAAATACAAGACTTTTTTTAGAGACTTGCAGATTTTTCTCAGTTATTCTGTTAAATTAACATTAAAAAAAAGACAGCTATAGAATGGGATCCATCAGAACCTCTCATTCTGCTATCATTTAAAGGAAATGATGTTGGCTTTAAATTAATTTGTCTCTGTGCTCAGATGAGACAGGATTTTGCAGTTTCAAACTAATGGTAGCATTTCTGGCACTTGAGCAACTCTTGTGAGATTTCCAGAATTGCAACTAAGTCTGTGGCACAAAAACTTCCAAGCTTTTATTATTGCAGTTTTTTTTAACTATGGCCTGAAATACCGAAATTTGTATTGGACCTTGAATTTTAAGAAGAGTGCTATAGGAGGCCTTCCTTTCAAGGTCTCCTATTACTTGAATTGTTTATATTGTTTTTGCTCTTACTTAGCATAATAAAATTTGTATTTTTCCTGCCACTCCTGAAAGCTGGCGGTTTATAAGACTGAAAACTGAAGTTCTGAGATGACAAAAGCCTAACATAGCATCACGAATACTAGGTGGTGCCTTCTACTTTGCTATTCACTTTGGCTGTGTGTTGATAGAAAAACAGTCAGTGAGGTTTAATTATGCTTGATAGTGCCGTAATCCCACAGGAGTAGTATTAAGAACCGAAAGCCAGTTTACTGAAGAGCCCAAACTGATCTAAGCAATATTGCTCAGGAAGAAAGTGCTATCAGTAAATAACTGAACTCTGTGAGTGTCTAAAGCTCCCTTTAGACTAGATGAGAGTGATGAATGGTCGTAAGGTTGGTGGTGGTGCTGCATCCTATCCCATCACCCTTAGTCCTGTCTCTTTTAGAGAGAGTATCTTTTTACCACTGTAGCAATATATCAAATCTGCTCTTTTGGTTTTGGCAGCTTCATTCTATACCTAGTATTTTTGATTTCATATCTGCTCTGACAGCTGTAGTTTCTAATTATAAACTGTGACTAATTCTATACCATTTTGCTCTCTGTTTCATACCTGTGTTTGCATTGCATTTTGCTGTAAAGCCTCAGTCAGCTCAGTTGACCATGGAATTTTTATGTTTTCAGTGCAGTGTCCATGTTATAGCTTCAGCTCTGCACTGAGACATATATCTTTGGCATTCTCTTTGAATTCCTGCATTGCTTTAGCTGTGCTATGATACAAGCTCTGGTGAAATGGAGGAATAAGAATGGCAAGGAGTCAGGCTACACAGTTCTTTCTTGTAGCCTTACCCCATCCTAACATGATTTTATACTTTAACTCCTTAATACTGTACTTTTCCTTTCTTATTTCCATAGCACAAAGGCTGTCTTACTTCTCCCACTTTCCTTGATCAACAGCAGGTGTTTGTGTATTTTCTTAAGATAAAGGCTAGATTCCAAATGATTAAGATACTGTTTCCATCCTAGATTGGGTATTTAGCCATTCGGGCCCAAAGCTGTGGCCCGGCCTCTCAGCTTTTTCCCTTCCAGCCACAGCTTTAGCCCTATATTTCAGGCTGGACTAGATGATCTCTAGAGGTCCCTTCCAACCTCAACCATTCTGTGATTCTGTGATTATCTTACTCCTTGGAAGCAATCAAGATCAGGAAGGACCCCAATATACTTTTGTGTACACTTCTGGGATTGGCCTAATTTGTATAGGGTGAAGTATTATTGTATCTATCTCACAAATATAAGCCTGATCAGGACCCAGAAACAATATTTTGTTTGTTTTTCCACACCTGCATGTCTAGAAGCATTTGCCGTGGTAGATATTCTCAGAGCAGTCCTAACAAGTACCAAGGGAATGCTTTCCCAGATGAAATGATGGCTACCTGTTCCTTCCAAGCCACTTGCATTTTACATGAAATAATAATCAGTCAAATAGATTTGATAAAGGTTTAAATATCAGGTTTCTCTCTTGCATCAGAGGTAAGGTACAGGTTTGAGCCCCTTGGCTGAAAAAAAAGCCATGTCCCTGCTTCCTGCTGCTGGGAGACAGCCATCTATCTATCTCCCTTGACTCTGTTCCTAAGGAAAAAGCATAGCCCTGATGTTTTTTGATGTCAGAAAGCCTTTTAAGCTGCTGTTTCTGGAGGCAGTCTCAGAGATCAGATACAAAGGTGCCCTCCCTGAGGTTGGGGAGGAGGCAAAAGCAGGTGGTAGGATTTCAGGATATGCCCTAATAGAGGATATACTCTTTGCAGCAACACAGGGTTCTCTAGGGCCTGCTGGGAGGTCTCTAGCTCTCCCTGTGGTGTTTCTGGAAAGGTGCAGCAAGTCCTGGCTACTCCCTAAGGATTGAGGAACTGGAAACTGGGAACTGAGAGCCGAGGGAAAATGGTGGCAGGGAGGCCTGGGGCCCCCCTAGCTGGAGCTGTCCTGTGGCAGCCAGTGAGGGACTCTAGGCAGGCTCAACCAGGATGTGAGATCATCAAGCAAGGTTGTGGAGACCAGGAAGGACTTAGGCTAAGATGGGATATCAATCTGCCCCAGTGGTCACCAGGCACCTCGGTGGGGCTGGACCAAGGCTGGGCCAGGTAGTCACCCACAGTTTGGGCTGAGGGGCCCTGTGGCCGCCAAGCAGGAGCAGGGCCATGGTGGGACTGGAACATCTGATGGCCCCAGGTGGGCTTAGATGGGGCCAGGACTGGGTGGGAGAAGGCCTGGGGTGGGAGAACATGGAGAGCGAGGGCCCATCTATTTTCCATTACAGCTTTTTCAACTGCTAAGGCAGGGGGGTGTCTGTCAGGTTGCTCTTATTCAAACAGCTGCTAAGATTAAGACTGGAAAAAGACCTTCTAGGTCACACAGCTGAGCCAGCTCCATGACCCTGTTGTAGCCTATGGTATTTGTCCTTGTACTGCAAAACATATTTTCCTTTCAAAGATCTTTATATCAGTCCTGTTCAAAATTGATAGACCTTTTAAATTCTATCCCATCTCTTTGCTGAATGGGACGCAGGACAACTTGACTCCTCCGGCTTGTATGGTACCTACTCTGGAGACAGACTTTTGTCAGTGACATGATTGTAGGTTGCTAGTGGCTCATTCTTTTACTCCACTTTTTTGTTTGATTGATTTTGATTTGCTTTTTGTTTAACTGCTCCTAGGCAGGTACTTTCAGTTTTGTTACATGCTTTATTTAAGACCGGTTTGTGCTGTGTTAAATGTACCCTCATTGTTGCTGGTTTCAGAGCTTAGAAATTCAGTCTTATTCGCGGACCTGCATAAAATTAGGTAGTTAATGAGCTATCACTGTTTTCATTCAAACTGCAGTCAGTGAAGCATAGCAGCTCTCATAGGACCTGGACTAACATTGCCTATTACAAATGTAGACAGGCAACACAGAAGCTTAAAGAATAGCTTTTTTGTGTGTGTCAGACACCTGAAAGTGCTCCCCAGTGATGCTTAACTACCCAGTTTTAGCCTACAGCAATGTCAGAAGGATGTCTTCTTCCAAATTTCTACTGTGACTCACCTGCTTGTAAGTCATTCATCCTATCTTCCACTTATACTCAGTGAAGAAAGGCAGGCACTTCGATGGCCTGAGCCTGGGGTGTACATCTGAACTACCTGGATGACTCTGACTTAGAAGTACCTGTTCTTCTGCTTTCTTTATAGACACAGTTTCAGCAGCTGAACTTAAATACTGATAACTGTGTGATAGATAGATAGATGAAGTAGTGAATATAAACTCTACAGCTGTTGTCCCTAATTAAAAATATTGTATAGTGTTTTTTTTCCCAATGTTTGTGTTTTCTATGTTTCTGAATACCCTTCCTCAGTCCATGAGATTTGTGAGGCGCATATAGAATCATAGAATCATAGAATGCTTAGGGTTGGAAGGGACCTCTAGAGATCATCTAGTCCAACCCCCCTGCACACGCAGGGTCACCTAGAGCACGTGGCACAGGACTGCATCCAAGCGGGTTTTGAAGATCTCCAGAGAAGGAGACTCCACAACCTCTCTGGGCAGCCTGTTCCAGTGCTCTGTCACCCTCACTGTTAAGAAATTTTTCTTCAAGTTCCTGTGGAACTTAAGTTAACTTAAGTTAAGTATCTGAAGTTTGGAGCGTGTGTATTAGTTTTCTTTGCATTTATTAGAATTAAATTGCCTTTTTTTATATATATACCTGAAGACACTGAGAGCTATTTGAATTTTCAGTCAGTCTTCATCCTTTTATGATTGAAATCATGCATACCTTTTATGTCAGTCACTTTTAATTTTATGGCGGTCACTTTTAATTTTTTCTCCTGTCCATTTTCAGAAGTAACATTCTTCCTAACATCAGCTTTCTTGGAAATCATTCATTGGCATTGGTTCTATTGCTGCTATCATAACTTTTTTTTAACTAGACACTGCAGAAACCTTATGCTGTGATATGAAGAGTTAGTGCCTATCACTTTCTTTTCTAAATTTTTTTCCCCCAGAAAAAGGCCTGTCTTTGCTAGGCTATCATCTGTGCAACTATAGCCTGACCACGAATGTGTTTAAAATGGTTGCCTATCAAAAGTCTTACGAGAAAAACACTTCCTGTGGAGGATGGATTCCATGGATGATTTGTCCCCGAACATACTATAAAACACACTATCACACTGTCAAAGTCCCCGAGACCCTGAATATTACAGATTGCTGTGAAGGATATGAACAAGTTGGACTCTACTGCTCTTTGGGTAAGTTTTAACCAGATTAATAGTCAAAATAAGTGGTTCTGCTGGAAGGTGATCACTTAAATTGAGACTCAACTTTAATTCAGTTCTGAGTAATGGTAAGATCAGTGAGTCTGCATAAAAAACACAGTAAACCTGGTCCAAAACGTTAAAGTATAGACATGAAATACTAATGCTCCTGGTTCACAGGATCTGCCTGTTTGCTGTAGGACAAAATGAAAAAGACATTTATTTGTTTCCCATCCGAGGGGTCTCTACTTGTCCTGGTGCAGTTCAGTACATGTGGCCAAGTAGAGTAACTCACACTCAGCTGTGTCTGTGCTAGGTGAGGTTGCATTTACAGCACGAGCTTGATTTGGAATGGGTTAGTTTTTGGATTGCTCACCTAGATTGGGTGTCAAGTTCAAAAAACTCACGGCCTTGGGCAAATTTGTATCAAATACTTTCCTATCAAAACTATATTGGGGTCAGTTTTCTCATGATTACCCAGAGCTCTATTTACATGAAGGGTAGAAACTGGTGAACCCTTTAGCAGATCTCATATAACTTTTGAGCTGTTGACAAGACTGCTTACTTGGGAAAAAGTGATAATTTTTCACTTGAGTTGGAACTTTTTTTCCCCTCCCCCATCAGGGCTATTTGTTGACAACAATCTATTCCTAATTTTTAGCACAGTACTTGAAAGAAAAAGGTAGAAGTGATTCCTCAGAGAAAATTTCTGAAATCACCCAAGGACTCACCAGTGAATTCCTATGACAAAGTGCCTCTGGCTATTTGTTTGCCAGGGGAGGCACATTGGTATAAGCCAAAGCTTTTCAGTAGAAGTAAAGAGGTGCAAAAGTTTTGCATGAGTCCCATTTTGGCAAAAGAGAAGTGTATTTTGCTTTAAGTCTGTAATTAAGTAAAAATCTGAGTGAAGTCTGTAATATCTGTAATTAAGTAAAAATAATGCTTGAAAAAGATTGTTCGGTCAAAAGGCCATGCTAGATTGTATTTGTTTCAGTAGATAATTTAATTATTATATGCCATATCAAATATATATATGTTTATATTTATAATATACGTATATTCATATATATGATTAATGATTATCATACAACCTTCTTTTATGGACAAAAACATATGCTTTTAAGCTGAACAGGCATCCTGGGTTAGCTGGGAAAGCACTGAATGGTGCCAGCATCCAGAAAAATTATGTGGGACATAATTTTGTCTCATATTTTCAGTATGACATTGTGTTTCTCCATTTCCCCTTTTCAAGTTATGGTCCTAAGAATTTTCATAGTATCAGCAATGTAAAAAGATCAAAAAGGATAGGTCCTATTGCAGCCCTGGCTGTGCCTTGGGGTCATTTGGCTCAAGTGACTCAAGTCCATGGGAATGTCCCCCAAGCTGCTCCTGCATCAGATCATATAACGTGACATGAGTGGGTATGAGCCATATGTCTTGTCAGGTGATCTGTCATTCTTGACAAAATGCGTTCATCCATCTCTGAAGTTGCTTCAGTACATTAGAAGATGAACCTCCAAACAACTTTTTCAAATTATTTTCTGAGTAATTAGAATAAAGAGAATATTGTTTTAGGAGGAAAAAGCTTTTAACAGGAAGACTGTAACACATAGGTGCTTGTTCTATTTGTTTTTAAAATGATTTGGCAGGGAAAAAGAATAAAAGCATAATTAGGCACACATCATCCCTCATTTATTGTTTCCTGCTATTGTTTTATTTCTGTGTCTGTTGCTAAATGTCAGCCAGGGTAAAAATTGACCTGCAGGTTACAGTATTTCCAGGCAGTCTTGTCAGACTGACAGAAGACTTACTATTGATAATACATATTTTAAAGCAGTAGTTCCAGGTTGGTGAAAATCTCCAGGGGATCTAATTCATGTTCAACAGTCAGTTCAGTAAGATCTTTTTAATATATATGCATGTGTGCACAATTGTACTACAAATAAATTAATCAAATGGCAAGGCTGAGAAGCAGTTGGAGAAAACTGCTTTTTGAATTCTGTGGCACAAGAGAATATGTTGAAGAGTGACTAGCAAGTTATGGTTCTCTATTTGAATCAGAAACTCCATGCTTGGTTACACTTTTTTTTTTTTTCTCTAGTATAATCATATGCATTGAAGAAGCATCTCTAGCAAACGCAGAAGCTTCAGAGGTGTCTGAGTTTATGTCATCCAATACTAAAACTCTACCACAAAGCTTAGCTACGGAATTTCAAATTCAATTTGCCACATTGTTGATATGCAGCCTTGGTGGGTTTGTCCGTGAAATGCTCTGATCATCCTCACTCTTTTCCTGTCAAACTTAATTTGAGAATAATTTAAGCCATCAAAGGATTCATATGGTTTCTAGGTGATTTCTCTGTTTAGATTATTCCGGTATCTTTGCTTTTCAGGGCATTAGTCATAAATTCTGTGAATAGTAATGTACTGTCTAGACACAGTCTTAAATAAATGATGAAAAGAGGAAACTGGAACGGCTGAAATCACTGCATGGTGTGCTGTTGCTCTACTGTTATTTTCTTCTTGACGTTATCCATGCTTGCATGCTGGCGTTCTCTCCATTGTTGTAGTGGCTGAAAGGTCAGCTTGACCTTTCACAGTAACCTGTTTCTGGACTCTTCCCCACCTTTTCTTCTTGGAAGGAATCATTTATCCCTGCATGGGGTATGACAGGCCCTGCTTTTCTTATTTCTGTACTGCTGGGGCAGAAATATGTATGCCATTAGTCAAATTACTCTAGTATTTTCCACTAGTTGCCTGTTGATCCATTAGGATAGTTTTATACACACACAGACACACAAAGGAAATACTTCAACTTTTAAAAATGAAGATTGCAAAATTAAGTATCTAAAAGTTAAGACAAGCTAGGGTTAATTCTAAAGTTAGAATTAAATAAATGCAATTATTGTTCATTCTCTTTGTGTCTATGCATGCATTTTCTTTAAATTAAATTACCTGTTTTTCTTCTGCCTTGCCCCAAGGACCATGTCATGCTCAGAAAGGATAGAAGCCCTTCTAATGAGTTTCCCAGCAGTGCATCACTCAGGCCTCTGCATTCACTCTGTGGCTGAGTGCTCTGCTAAGCCTCTCTCTGAATAGAGAATTATTTATCACGTCTTGAGGTAAATCCTGGGGTGATTCACAAGCTGTAATTTATCTTCATGAAGCCTGTGTGAAGGGAAGGAGGTGCTCTGTGGTTACAGCTGAGGAAGTGAGCTGCAGAGAGATTCAGATCAAATAGTTTTGTGTGGCCTCTTTGAAACATCTAGGATATGCTCTTTCTTCAGGGGACTTAGTGCTGCCTTTAACAACTCAATGTGTTTGGAGTCAGTGTCTTCAGTGGTGACTGTGAGGAATCTCATGTTTGCTAAGGCAGCAGATCAGGTTCCCAGAGCCTGAAAAACCCATGTATCTGAAAGGTTGTTATGAGTTTATTGTAAGTGACTTTCTCAGCATCTTGCACAAATTCTTTTAGGCAGAGATGGGATGTGGTTCTCCAGGCTAGTTTTCCATTGCCTGAATTGTAGCATGGTTACTCCTCTTCTTGTTGAATCATTCACTACTCACCTTCCATACCACTGCATAAGATGAAACAGGAGAGCTACAGGCAAGAGGCTCCATCCTTAGTTACTTATCTACCATCTATCTCTGTTTGATCCCCATCCAGAAGATCCCCCCACAGAAGAGTGTGTTCTGGTGAATGATACGACTTTTTATAGGAAAGGACATTAAGTATTTTGCCAGACACTGAACCAGCACATCCTGACGCTGCCCTGCATCCTGATTAAGACCTGGATAGAGCCTAAGAATGGAGAATTTCCATTGGAGCCTTGAAATGGGATGCTATAACCAAAGCTGTCAGACAGACTTTTTAACGGGCTTTTTTCTATAATATCATAGGTTTGCTTCCACCTTCTGATGCCTAAGACAAATGCAGGATTTTCATCCTTAGCTGTGCTGCATCCTTTGGATGAAAACCATGTCCTCTGGGTGAAAAGAGAGAGAAAAGGGAGGTTACCGTTGAACAAATTGTATCCCTCAACACCTGGCTCTTGGGAGACCTCCCAGTTTTATGGTCACGCCACACACCGCGGCTATAGTTTAGATAGGCTGTAAATGAGCTTTGGGTTGCTAGGCAGTGGATGCTACATTTCTAATTCTCTAAGTTTATGCAAATAATGAAGGAGAAAAATCTATGCTTTGTTTGACTCATGGAGGTGTTTGGCAGCTGGTCCCCTGATGCTACCAGTGTTGCTTGGCAGATGGCTTACCTCTGGGTGACTGTCCCCAAGATGATCGAAGTAGAGAGCCTGAATTGAATTTCAAAGTACATCTGGTGTGATGAGGCAGGAATGTGATGTGAATCCATCCCCATTTCCACTGATATAAAAATGATGACCTTTAGGTTTGAGGTAAATGGGTAGTGTGGCGCTCCTCCAGGATTCAGTAGTGTTTGCTGAGATTGCATGTGACTTGTGACTAAATTCTTTTATTCAACATGGTAAAAAGAAAAACTTTACACAGTGTTGCTTCTTTTGTTTTGTTTTAGCCTGTCACTACAGATCTGAGTTTGTGATGCAAAGTGAACTTCAGGTAGCAGGGCAAATCCTGCAAGACATAAGGGAGTCAGCCTTGCGTCAGGGCGGGGGGGACGCCCCTTATTCACTATGAGAAGCCCTTGTCTGCCTAATGTTAACTTGAATGATGCTTGCAGTCTTGTTAAAGGGTGTGCTCACTGACTGTGTACACCCAAAATATACGTACAGAGCATACCAAATATGATAGGACATACCAAATATGATAGGAAATATCAAAGATAGTGTGGCCAAGGCACTCACCCATGTATTCTGGACCCAAAGCTTTAAAGCCGCATGTGCAAATAAAATGTCTGCTTCTGGGAGGTCTTACCTCAGTGCCTTTACTGGTCTCCAGCTTGTGGGTTCTGACGGGTTTTCCAGACAAGCTGTGGACCCCCATCACTAAAATCACATTGCTTTTCTTAATTGCTAGAAATTCTGTGTGATGAGTTTTCAATGCTTAATTTTAAATTTTAGCCTTTGATTGAAAATTGAACTGGGTATTTGCAGCATTAAAAATGAGATCTCTTACAGAGTTTGCTAAGAAGCCAAGGCGCTCTTTTTGCGGTAGGTTCCAGTCTACTGTGAAGGAGCAGAGAGAGGGGCCTGGAATGTGCACATATCAGCACATTACACAATTTAGTTTAAATCTTGACTAATCAAGATCATTTGCCGTTTGAGGCAAAAGTCATAGATTCAATATTCCCTTCCATTTCTCAGAAACGCTAGTTTTATTCAGAGCCTTGGGATAACAGAAATTGAAAACTCATAGAAAATGGCATTTGTTGATAGACTTGTAGTTTGCTCGTTTTTATAGGCCTTTCCTTTGCAATCAACTTTATTATAAGAAATGCATTTCTCCATTAGAGCCTGTTTCTATAACAAGATTCATCTTCATTTTTCTCCTGACTGACTTAATTGTACAATAAATAGATTGAGAGTTTATAGGACCAAGGAGCTGTAGCCACAAAACGAATGGAAAAGAGAAGAGAAATTTTTATGCCAGTTAGAAAGAAAAGAGCTGAGGTTGTAGCTATATTTGAAAGCGTGGGTGAAGATGGCATTTGTAGAACCTAACTATACTCTTTTCCTCTGGAGAAGAGTAGGTGTTGGCATTGAGCCAGGACCACTGTTTACAGTTGGTTTGGGAAACAGAAACCAGCTGCCCTGGCTGCCGTGTCTGTAGGGTCATCTGCCCTGGGTGAGCGACCTCATGGGGTGCAGGGCTGGTGCTATGTGGATGCCGCCAGGTTGGAGACCATGAGCTCGGTCCTTGTGTGTAACCCATTTATCTGTGACTGGGAACAGCATTTGTTTCAGTTCTCGTGTAATATCTTTGATTATTATAACTAAAGGTTACCTCTTTTGCAGCAAAAGTTTAAAGAAAGTCTCCTGAATTGCAGAGTAGATATTACTTGTTTGCTTTGATTGTTATATTTTATTGGGATTAATCATAGCTGACATTGGGTACATTTTCTGCTTTTCTGAATTTTGCAGTGTTTCAATGTCTCCATATTTAGGAACTATAAATATATATATGCTTTTATACACATAAACACTTATGGAAAATCATAATTTAAACATTTCTGTAACAGAACTGTCATGAACAAGAAAAAATTCTTATAACATTTACACTATTGAAATGAAATAACGACTGCTGTTTTCTCCCCGTGAAAACTTCAGAACGGACACAATTTTAGAATGAGGAGAAGGTGTTTGTTATAAATTCAGCACCACAATTTTATGGAAACAATGTTCTATGTTTTTGCTCTCAGAAATGTTTTTGTTGCTTAGCACTCAATAGATCCAGTGTATTTGCCTCAAGACCTGGTGTTTGTCCAACGGAGAATATGGAAACATCTGATTATCCTTGCACGTTTGATACTGAATGTCCAGGGCTTAAAAAATGCTGCAGCTCATCCAAAGGAGAAGGCTGTGTGGATCCAGTGCCAGAGGGTATGCAAATGAAAAATTCAAAACTGTTCCTAATACAAAAATATGCTTTATTTTTGCTTCTGAGGATGGGAGTGGGCAGAACAACTGTTGCCATAGCTCTTCATAAAACAAATATAGAAATCTGTTTTGGATCAGCTCCAGGATATTCAGCTTCAGTATTTCAACCTGTGAGCCCTGAATAGCAGATGCTACAGGTCCAGTGGACTTTGCTCAAGTTCTTCTAGCTAGTGTTGCTCTCTGCAGCCATGGGAAACATAGCAGTAGCTGGTGCTTTATGTGGGCCCTTCAAAACTTCAGGTTTAAACCTGGCTTCAGTTTCCCAGGGCCTTCCTGTGGCTTTGAACTGTGGCCTCGGACCTCAGCTGATTTGGCTGTTTAATTTTGTTCATTTCAGAAGAAATGTTCTGGTACAATGTGACAGTGCTTGTTAAAATGGATTTTAGTGAATTAATCAGAGTGGATCCCCACCTTTTGAATCATTCACGCCTGTTACACTCCATGGTATGTACAAATGAGAACCTTCTTGTTTGTTGCTCATTGCATCAGCATCGCTGTTACTCAGTAACCACTAATGGCTTTGGTTTGGGAAGGGTCTCATAATCCTATGTGCTGGGCAGAATCTTGCTATCTAGTTGCTCTCTGATTGTTTCTGCAAGATAATTGTTTGGGCCATAATGTATTCCAAATGTCAACTACATCCTCAGGAACCCTAAGCAACTTTGTTTTAACAGCTTCTTTGGTAGATATCTCAGGTCTCTGACAAGAGGAATCTAAAGTCATATTCTAAAATATACTTTTTATCCTGCTTAAGTGATACCTGCTTCAACTCAGTTCCGTTCTAGGTCTGTGCCAGTCAGACTGAGTTGGGGTTTCAAGACCTGCTAAGTGGGATGTTTTCCGAGAAGGAGTTTTGAGATGAACTTTTCAAGAAACAAATCTGATCTATGAAACTGGAAACTACATGCAGGATGGATTATGCAGGGCTGAAATTTTCCCTGCCAAAATCTGGCATTATGGCATGGGAATGTCCCTGGATCCATTTCGTTTGCATTCTTGCTGTAGGAAGTGGTGCTCTGTGAGACACCAGTGAATTTCTTTTTCTGTAGGACCAAGGCTCTGCCTCATGCAGGGATTAGCCATGGCCATGGTGACTGTGTGTGTAGCCGCATTACAGCGGCACAGGACATATCATAGCATCCCAGCTACAACAGATGAGAAGAGTCGTCTTCTCTGATGACTAAAGAGCTAAAGGATGGTCTGTCTACAGAAAGAACCAAGCTACAGGCTAAAGTAGTGTTCAGACAGGGTGACTTTTTCAATCCATTGAATGATATTTAGGAACTGGATTGATGAACTAGGACAAAGACACCAAACCATAAACTTGGAGCGTTTTCCTAGTAGATGTCACTATTGCATGGGAAAAAAAAAATGGATTGGATGGGATTGGATGTTGTCACTGAAAGGTACCCAAAAGGGAAGTTCCCTATTGCTTAGCAAATGATATATATATATGCAGAAAATATATATATATGTAGATTATAGCAAAAGATACTTCTCTCCCATAATACTCTAGATTTGATGGGCAGGAGAACAGAAATAATAGCAGTAACATGGGGACTTTGTATGAATTTGGTTTTTCCTCCTGCCTCAATTCCTCCTTGCCTGACCCTGTCCTGTTGGGTTAAGGAGCAGAAGCAATCTGCTCAGACTCACCTGTCTTGCTCTCAAGGAAGCTAAGACAAAAAGTCAAACACTCAAAAGAAAACATCAAAAGGATGCCTTGCAAGAAACTTGTTCTTGAAAGAATGTATTCCAGGGCCTGTCTGCTCCAGCGGCGCCTTTTCCAATGCTCAGCTGATTTCAGTGTCCCCACTCTGATTTGTGATGTGTGGTTATGAGGACTAAATCATTCCCACGGTCTCTTTCTATAGCTCTTAGTCCCAGTCGCCTTGCTCAACAATCTGTTGCTTCACTCCCCTCCCCTCTTCTTTTCCGTTTAATATTACTTTTGCCAACACCAGGACTTCCCCCTGTTTAAGCCTCATTCCTTTGTCTACATTCTATTCTCTAGCCCCTCCTTTCCATCTTTTTTGGCCTGTCTTTTGTTCCTCATGTCCCAGTCAGTGCCCTTTCTCCATTATATTCCCTGAACACCAGTTAAAACAGCAAGGGGAAAGACAGTGCTGTGTGTTCTGTGGACACAGAGCTCTGCTCTCAGAACAACACAGCTGGGGACTGAAATTGCAAGGAAAGCCCTAAGGAGCCACTGGAAAAGCTGAGTTATTCTGTCTGGTTCAGAGCTCTAAGAGGCTGAAGCATGCTTGCTTGCTTGACGATGGACATAAATCTGATTTTTCAGTGAATTTAAACCTGTACAAGAGTGGTAACATTTTCCTAGGAAGAAGAAAACCCACAGTCCTAATGCAAGTCAGTCTGAACACCTGCCAAATGGCAACTTGTTCTTCCTAAGCAGTCAGGTGATGGTAGAGTTTCTTCCACATAATGTCTCTGGAATTCTCTTTAATGACTTTTCATAGGTCCTACTTCTTAGCAACTACTGAATTATTTCATCTGAAGCCTTCAGCAATCATAAGGAAAAAATATCAGCCTGAAGCTGACTCCTACGCTGGAAAACTTTAGTTCTGGTGAAACTATGGCAAAATTAAAGAACTCTTTTTAGTTGCTTAAAGCAGGAAGTGTTGGACAGCTTTATTACAGGTGCACAAATGGCCTACCTAAAGTATATTTTATCTATGAGATTTTGTTGTTTAAGCATTATGTGCAAAGAGAACATTTCCATACCTTTCTGAGTTACATGCTTCTGTCAAAGTGCTTGAGATCTGACATTGTAGCCCCACGCTTTCAGTAGTTTGGCATTACTGTGCTGTAGTTCCTTTGTGAAATGCAATAGTAAGAAGAGCTCTCCTTGCATAAATAGAGACCTAGTCTGCTAAGATTTCTGAATAGGTGTTTTCTGCACTCAGTTTATAATTATAATCATTGCATAGGTTATGCCTCATTGGCATACAGTTGCACCGATAAATGAGATACTGAACTGTTTATTCACCTGTTTTCCAGATTACTGGAGCATTACAACCCTTGAGTGCCTCTGTGTATCATATCCAGAGTAACCATGCAGAAATATATTCGGGGACAGTGGCCTCTCAGGTTCTCATTGGATTGCATCAACCAGCTCCACTAGTGGATGTGTCCTCTTCCTTGAAGGACATCGTGAAGCGTGTGTATGAAGTGATTGACACACATGTGCAAGGTTTCTATTTATTATAATCCTGTCCTTGAAGGGAGCCTTTTTGTCCCTCTTCACTTGAGATTTTATGTGTATGACTATTCATTGGCACTCAAATTTTGATGTGGCAAATTTTGTAGGCTTTGCAACTATGGCCCTATACCATACATTATAAAATGAATAGATGGGTGTAGTTAGTAATTATTTGGGAGTGGATAATTTGGAGGGGAATATTCCTGCTTACTGAGTTACATTTATTTTCCCCTAATAGCATAGCCCATCTTTGGGTTGAAAAGCAAAGGGAGTTTAAGTCTGTCATAATCACTAGATATTTTAGGCAGAAGAGGCTCTTAACAAGAGTGTAGAGGTATTCTATATCTGTTTATACAGATATACTCCATTTGTATATACTTGTTTATTTCCATAAACTTGTATGCAACAAGGAACATTTATAGTCTGTTAATTAATTCATAATTTTGTATTTAAATTTTAGGTAAATATTTTAAAATGTTGATCTAAATAGATTTAATCTGCTTTTTGCTACATAGCTGCGTGAACATTTCCACTCCTGCAATGCATCAACAGCAGTTTGTCATCATTTCTTGCTTAATGTATGTTTTTGAAAACACAGTCTAACTTTCAGTGAAACTATAAGTGACTGGGCAATTTGCCTTTCTCTCCTTCTCCTTTCGCTTGGATTTGGATCACACCCTGGACATGGAAGACAGGGCTGCCACTATTGCCATTTTATTCCAAAGAATCTCAGGGGGAAAATAAAAGTTATAACTCAATCAGGGCTTGTTTCAGGGAAGGGCAACTTTCTGATTTCATTGCACCTATATGAATCTGGAGCTGTTCCAACAAATTAATGGCAGATTTTCCCTGAATTTAGCATCTCCATAGGCTGGTCAACATGTGTTGCAGGTCAATCTTGATGTTATTATGAAGATCTGTGTAAGATATGATTTTCTTCTTAGATGTCAATGAATGTTCCTATGCCGTATTCAATGCTTGTCCTAAGAGAGACACCTGCATAAATCTGGAGGGTTATTACAGCTGCAACCCTGGGCATGAACATGCTGATGTCAGTCCTCAACAGAGGGAAGCAAGAAAGGAAGGTAAGAAATGTAGACCTCACCTTGAAAATACAGAGACCGATTCTGTGGGACTTTGGTATAGGGCAGGAGCTGCCTGAGAGCTGAGAATTACTGGAATATAGGGAAAAGGTGCCATAGGAGCTAGCTGTTTCTGGTTGAAACATGGTATATTTATCTCACAGTTCCAGACTGTCTCCTGTATCTTACCCTCAGCTGTCCTTGCCCACTAGCTAAAATCTCTCTACCTTCAGACCGTGACTTCTTCTCAGAGCAAGTCATTCATAGTCAGTACACCTCCCTAGTGGCCTGTGGAAATCTGTTTAATTACATTATGTGCACATAAAGTCTCCTTTCCTTTTGGGCTGCATGACTACAGCCTGAACTCAGTGTCTGTGTAATGTCACCTTGAGCTGCTAAAGTGCTGATGAGCTCTCTTTTGGAGGCAGCTGGAGTTTAGCAGTGGGTGGAATGATTCTTTGCAAAGTCCAGCAAAGTATGTAGGCATGTACTTACAATCTACAGACGTCAATGGGTCTGTTAACAAGCTTACAGATTATGAGATAAATAAATGTTTTCAGATTTGCTGCTTTCGTTCAAAAACAATTTTACAGTTCCTTAGCCTCAAATATTAAAATAATATGTAATACTAATGTATTATTAATATACGTACGTGAAAATACATCTATTTTCATTTGTATTTATATAACTTTTATTGCTGCTTTTCAGCTCCTGAAAAAGTGAATGTTATTACTTTGGATTTGCTGTATTAGGAATGTTTTACTGTTTCTCCCTTAGGCATAGTAACATCTATTCCAAGTGCAGCGTTGGATACCATTAACACTAGCAATAGCTCTCAGTCAATAAGTAATTCAACTCCCTTGTCCATGACTAACCAATCTGCTGAGGCTGGATGCTGTGAGTAAGCTTGGATTTGAATGAATACTGTCTTGCATTTAATTCAGCACTTTGTTGATCCCTTTTTTGCTGAGGCTGTTTGAGCTATGGCAGGGGGATGTTCACAGAAGCTGACGATAGTTCTGGAGTGAATGTCCACTTATAGAAAGAAAGAGGATCCACCAGTGGGAGATCAGATCCGGAGCTGCAGTGCTATGAATAGATCACTAGAAAAGGCCTGTGGTTATCCCAGTGGTTACCAGAGGAAGCCGACCTCCTTGAAGTGGGGTGGCAGTGATGAGCTTCCTGAGCCACTTTTGCCTGGTGAACAGTTCAAGTGCAGCTCCCTCTGGAATTCCAGTGGGAGTTGCACAAGGTGGATACCACACTTGTGCCTCTGGACCCAGCTCACCACCCTGCTTGGTCCTAGAAGGAGGAGGCTCCAGTACCACATGCAAGAGATCCTGCTGGCCGTGGATGGTCTGCCAGGATGCTGCCAGGCCACAGCTGGAGCTAACCTTTGTGAATGGATGCTCTCTCTGCTTTGTATTGCAGCTGCATGAGGGACCATGAAAAGAACAAAATCAAACCCCAGTAGGATTGTCTTTATATTGGTGACTTCAGTTCTTTCAGACATGGGGTATCACGATCCTTTTAACAACATCCTGTTCTTCTTTAGGGAGGAAACAGTTGTAAGGAGTTCTTTGCCTTGTTTACTGAGATAGGCTGGATGTTCTTGATCTTCGTCTTTATCCACAGCTTCTGATCTAATTTGAAGCTGAAAGAATTAAACTGAAATCTTCCCAGCACAAGGCAGTATGACTTTTGGGCCATCTGGCACAAGGCCTGGAAACAATTCTATCCCATTAAAATAATTTAAGAAAACAACCCATTTTCTCAGGCTGTTAGTAGAAAAGAATTGAAATTGTGGTAGCAGGATGACTTGGTGTCTAGTTCAGTATAGGGGCTGATGTTCCTCTCACCTGATCCCAGCTGTCTGTAGGAGAGGTGTCCAGTCTGTGGACAGCATCTCTACTCTCTCTGTAGTTCATGGAGAGAGAGAGGCCCTGCTCAAAATCATTTCAATTCCACCGAATATAGATGCCTGGATGGCTGCTCCTCTGAGGAGAGGAACCATCTATGAAGAGGCTTCTCTTTTCTAATCCTAAATTGCACTGGGCTAGAGAGGCAAAAATAAGTAAAATGTTCTCCCCTTCCTCCCCCACCCGCTCAGCCTATAAAAGCTGGGCTCTGCTTACATAGCAATTGGTATTTTTCTTTCCAGTCAAAATCAAACCACTGAATCTCCACCTAAAGATGTACATTTAATGATTAAAATGGCAAGAGGCTCACAAGTGTGAGCATATGTAGATTACACAAGTTCACTATTTCCAACTTTCTTTTGTTGCTTGAGCCCATAGTTCACTGTCAGATTATCAATATTACAAGAGATTCAAAACTAATATTTATGTTTAAAAAAAAAAAGAACGAACACTCAGTCACTGCAGTGGTTCATGGATGAGGGAACCTATTACTGTGAGAGAGATGAATATTCTGTTGTGACATAATTGAAAGAGAAATTTCCCCTATTGACCACAAAAGTGCATGTCTATAATAATAAATTTAGAAGAGCACTATGTTTTCAGGATGAAATAATGTTTTTTCTTTGATAACCCTCCCTGGGACTGTGATAGATCCTCCTCCAATTATAAACCACCGAATCTTCAGCGTTACCAGCAATAATTTTGAAATGTCTTGGCACATCCCTTCCACTCTGAACCATACTTTCCAAGTCCAAGTATTCAAGGACAAGGAGATCGTGCAAAACCTGAAGACAGAAGAAATGAAAATGGATGTGTCTGGACTGGAGGCAGGTGTGATGTACTCAGTAGAAATCAGCTATGAAACATGTGGAAAGAAAAGCATTTCCCAACAAAATGTTAAAACAGGTAAATAGCCACTTGAAAATATTCTGTCTTTACACTCACTTGCAGCTCAGCAGCGATTCCTCTGGGTCTCCCTGAGGTTAATTTCCCACCTCCTTTGACACTTTATCTGCGCCTGCACCAGCATTTTGTCCTGGACCACCAGGCAGCAGGGCTTTGGCCTCAGCTGATGAAGCACTGCTAGAGCTGACTCAGACAATTACAGATATTAGGCTAAGCTAGAATTCGCTTTTGCTTGGTTGGCACTACCTTCTGCTGCCATCACTACCCTTTCTGCTATCAGGATCTTTTTCTCATGATTGACTGCTGGGGTAAGTGAAAAATCCAGTCAGCTGCTTTGGCCAGGGCTCTGCTGACCTACTGAACGTGCTCAGGGGAAGGCTGGATTTTGATGAATAGTTTGAGAGAGTGAATGATTAAAGTGAATGACAAGAGCTGTGTAAGAAAGCCTACAGAATAGCTGCATAATTTCATTCAATTAGCCAGTGATGTTAGCTCCCTAAGGCCCTGTTTATGAAACATAACTTTGCTTTTTCATTATCCTTAAAAAAATTTCTGAGCCTTCACAAAAAGAGATCTTCCTTCATTTTCTTTAAAAAGCAGGCAGTGAAGTATTTAATGGCTGCCAGCATGGGAATGCTGCTATTTATGTTTATCTGTAAGAGCCTTCCCTTTGATCAGATGAGAGATGACTCCTGTTTGGGTCAGCAGGA